AATCTTAATAATTGTAAAAACTGTAATATTTTTGGGAATCATTGACAATAATTTTATTTTAAGTTTCTTATGATTTAAGAGGATTTGGTGATTTATCTTAGATTGTTAATAGTGGTTAAAGATAAGATTAGGCAGTATTTATTTGTATATAGGTTGAATGACCACTTTGAAATAATTAAGATGGTTTTACTTCATTTTTTGGAGTAATATCTTAAATTAAAGGAGGAGGTTGAGAAATCTAATTTAATATACTTTCATTTGAAGATTCAGATTGTATATCATCTTCTTCATTTATATCAATATCTTAATCTTAAATTTAATGTTATTAACTATTTTATAATTAACTGCTCTATTATTATGAATGATTTAATTAAGTTGGTTGATGAAATGCATATTATTAAGAGACATTAGTTTAAAAATAAGTTTATTCTATATCTTTAGATTCATTTTGATTTCTATCTGAAAGTACAATTTCTGAATATTGAACATCATTAACAAATTGATTAGTTTTACCTAAATTAATTGTTTTTGGAGATTGTTATTCAACAGGTTTCCATAAATCAGGACATGATTTCTTTTAACTATCATGTAATGGTTAAAGTTATAATTGTTAAACTTTTTAAATTCTGTTTGATGTAGGAGATTGACAAGTAAGAACTTTTTCATTTTCCTTATCTCCTTTCTTTCTAAGATATTTCCTTAAATCAGTTGATAAATCTTTATGATTATTGCCCTTTTTATAGTGATTCAGTATTGCTATAACATCTTGATTACCTTCTTTTACCATATTTCTTAATGCTATTCTATCATCCTTAAAAATTACTAATTTATAATATATTAATTACATGTACAATTGTCTAATAAAGTAAGAATTTCTAAATTATCTGGTTTTTTTGGGTTCTTTTAAATATGTTATGGTGATTTTCCAAATCGAATCATTAAAAAATTAACTGTTAATTACAAATTTTAATATATTGATAAATAAAATATTTATCTTTCTTTTTATTATATAAAATATATATCATAGGATTGTTTTAAGATTGAATCATATGATTATATTATTTAATGAATGTTAATTATAAACAAAAAATAAAAATTAGATTGTTTGAAAAATTAACTTTTATTATTTGAATTATATAAAATGAATTTATCAAAATAACAGGAAGAAGCTCCAATCATTTAAAAAGGGATTCAATTAACTAAGTAGGATAAAGTAAATAAATGTAGATATTAAATGAATAGATTTATCATTTTGATATGTTATCTTGGGCGTCTGCAGGTGCTACCTTAGTTTCAATATGGTAAATAATAATACCGTTTACACTCTTTTCTTTGAATAAACCATAATTGATTTTAGGAATTACGAGTATCTTTTTTCTTTTGATCAGTTTGGTGGTTTTATATTGGAGTCATAAGGGATACAATTTTTATAAGAAAGTAATGTATAAAAATTTAAATTTGTAGGATAAGAATGATGAATAAATGCCTTTGCAAGCTTGGCATATTGAAGGCTTGATCTATGTTATTAGTTTCATTTTAATAGCATTATATGCAAGTTGTTTCTTTGGCATATTAGAAAATGAAGGATATTCATGGGCTTTAATGGCTGCTTAAGGAGTTCCAGTAAATACAGCTTAAAAGGAAGCTTTTATTATTGTTTTATCTTAATTGATACTAATTTTAGTGGATTTAGTGCTTTTAGCTTATTATACTAAAGTATCATACCATCTAGAATTTTAACCAATGAATTTGCCATCTTTATTAGGTTGGTTTTTGACAATGTAAAATTATAATTATGATTAAAGATTTATATTTATGTGTTGTATAACAATAGGAGATACAAATTATTTACCATCAAAATTAGGTGGTATAGTTGATAAAGAAAGTATGGAAAAAGCAAAGGGTGCACATACATCAATATTTTGGACTTGTTTAATAGGTTTAATATTTTCTTTATTTACATTATTTGAATAAAGATCAATATAATAAGAAGTATTTCCAAAAGTGAAATTTTATTTTTTACCTTTCCTTTTAATAATGGTGGCTAGTGTATTTTTAATATCAAATTCTTTAAATTTCTTATATGCTTCAAGTTAATCTATTTAAGAATTGAAGAAAGATTGTAAATCAACAATTTAAACATTCTCTTAAACATATATAGATTCAATAGGATGTCCAGCTAAATATAAGACAGTGAATATATAAGGTAGTAATTATTTTGATATGTATTGTTCATAAGATGAAGTTGGAATAGTATGGGAAAATGAAGTAGATAAACCAAATTCAGAAAAAAGAAATTAATTAGCTTGTATGAATTTGTCTTGTTGTTATTTAGTAAGTGAAGAAAGAACTCTATTTTATAAACAATATTTTTTTTATTCAATATTGACTGCATTTTTAGGATTTATAGCAGCAGGTCATTGTTTTGATATAGCTCTTTAAGAACCAAATGTTATAAAGGCTGGACCATCTGTTTATTCTTAAACATAATATATAGTATAAATAGTTTTAGCATTATTTTCAATAATTCTTGGAATTTATTTATCTATAAAATATAATTAGAAAGTACCAATAAAATTACCAGAATTTAATTATAAGGATTAAATAAATTTAGAACCAAAATATTTTACTAATTTAACACCATTATCTTCAATACCATAATGTTAAGAAGTGAGAGATTAACATAATAAAGCATTTAAAGTTCATTTTGATCATAATGCTTGTGCAGGTTAAGCTAAATGTTCTAGAATGGGATTTCATGCTTGTTTAGAATCATAAAATGGAATCTTTTAATTATTACCAACATTTTAAGATTAAGAAATAGCAATTTTTGGTAATCATGCATATGATCCATATGTTCTTTAAAAAGCATTAAATGGTGAATAAATTAATGATAAATTATGTTTTGAAGGTTTAGAAGGACCTATAAATTAATTATTGAATTCAAAAGTATATATATGTCATCCTTCAGATAAAGAAGCAACTGTTAAATTTTAAACAAAAGAAAAAGAAATTATTTTTGAATAAATGATTTAATATTAAGAAAAAGAATTTGATTTAATTAGAACTGTTAAATTACCTTAACTTTCTCATAACAAAAGAAATCATAAGGATTTAGATGAAACAAGTGAAGAAGAAAGTTTAGGATAGTATACTACAGTAACTTTAATTGTTAGTGATGCTGAAACATTTGAACCTATTGTTGGAGCAACAGTTACAATGTACCAAGATGTAGATAAATGTTAAGAATTAAATCAAAATATATATTATCCTATTAGAATTACACAAACTAATTCTACAGGAATGATTAGTATATATAATGTTTAGATGAAAGACAAAAGATAAACTTTCAATCTTATTATTAGATAAGATGGATATATGTTTAATTGTTTAATTGTACTCACAATAAATTTATATTTAGTCTGATCATTTAAAGCCATTCAAATAAAATATATTCCATGTTCCATTAGCAAAATCACTTACAGATCAATAAGAAATGAAAGTATTACTTTGGCATTAAAATCCTAAATTAAATTTAGAATTAGGTTCAAATGTACTCTTAAATAAGAATTAATAATGTAGTGTTGGCTTTTTCTTTTCTGAATGTTCCTTTATGAAATTTACATCTAATCCAAAAAGTAAAAATTAAATTTCAAGAGTTATAACTCTAGAAAAAATAATATAATTTAATTATATCTTTTTTGTTAGACATATACCTATCAATTCTGATATTATAGAAGTTGTTAATAATAAGGGTTTATCTCTTGTTGCAAAATTATAAGCAGAATTATAATAAGAAATAGCAGAATTTTAAAAAGCATAACCTAAAGTCTCAATTTATTCAAAGAAGAATCCTTATCCACATATACATGAAATGCCTCATACTTTATCAGCTGAAATTGATACTACTCCTGATTTACTCATATGGCTTTCCTTTTGTATGAATGGTAAAATTGGCCCTGAATCAAGTACACCTATTAATCATTTCTGGGAAAAGAAAGATGAATCTAAATTTTGGTAACGACATACTGTTTAACCAAATACTTTACCAGATTCTTCAATTTGCGATAAAATGTATAAATAATAATAATGATTATGATAAACGAATATAATTCAACTTTTCTCCACATATTTTCTACAGAGAGACTTCAATTATGAATAAACTTTTCCAGGAGGACTTCCTAAAATCAAAGCACAAATTGCATCTCTAGCAGCTTTGATATTAGAATAACTTCCAAGAATATGTATTCTTTAATCTGCTAAAACTATTCTAGTTCTAGTTGCATTTTCAATTGCAAATTTAGTTTTACCTTTTTCACCAGAAATACGTCCAATACATCTTGATAAATGATCACCATGTAATGTTTTAACTATTCATATTTTATTTAATATAATACCATCTTTAACTTCAAATGATTCTACATACAAATCATCTAATCTCAACAAAGCTACTGAATCATCAATATCAAATCCTAATAAATTGTTCAGTTAAATATTATTACCCATCATAAATGCTTTCAAAAAATCTACACCTCTTTATAATGAAGTTTTGTCTTCTGTAAATTAAGATGTTTTTATTTCTACACACTTTTTTTTTGTATTCATTCTTATTTACAACTTCATATTTTCCTTTTCATTTTTTATTTAAATAAATACCACTATTGTAGTTAATATTTTATCCCAATTATTTTTTAAAGGAGTCACTCTATGAGGAGGTACTGGCACTCTTCTTATTTCACCCTTTTTATTCTAATTTTTTTATTTATTATTATTATTAATATACATTCTCTTAATTATCAGTCACTTATTAGAATTGGATATCTTGTACTTCATTCTAGATTTAATTAATGTCTTCTTCTATTATTTAATTATTTTCTTCGTTAAATTCTTTTTCTTAATCGATGTCCATACACTAAATTTCTCAATTAATTACAATAAGTTAATTGTATTTATTAATTAAATTACCATAAAAATATATATATATATATTATAATAATATTTCAAATTGAAAATTCTTTATAACATTTCATACAAAAATTTGTAATTTAACCTGCTATGCTTCCAATATCGCTACTAAATTCTTATTAACATTTAAGACATTTTTTCTTTTTATCTTCTGATATTATTTGATTCTTCATTTATTTAACATATTATTATGTTTTAAATTCAGGTAATATCTTCAATTGATTTTATTCTATAAGTAAATCTGTCTATTGATTCATCTCTTCTAATAGTATTTTAACCTATGATTAAATAGATATTGTCTTATTATTTTATAATGGATTTTATTATTGAGAATTATATTGTTATTAGGAATATTGTTGTTAATTAATAAACTATTGATTTCTTTGATTATTCTACTCATCTTAGAATAAAGAAAATAATAGAACATCTTAGTATATATCATTTTCTATCATTATTTTGATACTATTAGGAAGACTAGAATTAAGTAATACCAATCTATGTAACGTTTTATTAGGTTTGTAATAAAGTATTTATTGTATATCAACATTTATAACATATTTAAGATTATCAACTAAAAGTGCACTTTATCCAATAGATAAATTCATTATATCAATTTAATCACTAACTTATATTCCATTTTCTAATAAATGGTTACTCAAATTCAGATTTATACTATTTTTCAATAGAATTGTTGCTATTTCTGTAAAACACCATATTCCTACATTTTGATTAATTTAGTTAGTTTTAATAAGTTAATTAAGTTATTAATAAGTTGTTCCATCTGCAATGAATTGTCCTTTTTTATTTTGTAATCCAATCATAATTGCATAATACAATCCTTATAATCCTTATCCAGTTAATTACATTGTTCTTTCATTTATTTAAAGTTTATCAATAATTATTTTGGGTATAGGTACTATTTATTATAGATTTTTTTAATTGTTCTAAAAATATTCAAACCCTTTGCTTATATTATAATTATTTGCAGTAAAATATCTATTAAAGTCTCTTAATTTCTTAATTACTTCATTTTTATTTGGTTTATTCTCTAATTATGTTTCTAAAAATTCCTAAAATTTTGTTAATATGAATTGAGGAGCCAACATAATAAATTATAATTAATATTATAAATTTAATTTCAAGAATTAAAACCAATCAATTTTACTATTCCCATTTCACATGAACAATTAGTGCAAAAATGATAACAGTCTTTATAAGTCTATGCAATTATATTAATTATTACATCACAACATACAAATATTAAGCCAATTCCAAATGCAGGTAAAAGAAATAGACAAAGTAATAATTAAGCTGATCCAATTCTATATTCAACTTAAGAATGTACTTCTTAATTACACCATTTACATTATAGATATTATGAATGTCTCATCTTTGGAATTTATGTTAAATTTTTACGAGTTGGAATACCAGATCCAGGTTAATATGCCATACTTTAAGGCATTGAAAATTATTAATTATTTTTTTACTATACACATGATTAGGGTATTTAATTCACTTCAGAATATATTTAATAAGCTACAATTTATTATTATGCAACTCGTTGTGACCAATTAATTTATACTTCTTAAAACCCTGGAATTTTACTCTTATTCATATATACTTTAGAATCTTTAGGAAGTTTAGTTTTCTCATGAACTGGTATTGAGGATGTAATCTTATTCATTTCTTAATTAATTTCATTAGTTTAATTCTATCCTAAATGTGAATTATTGATTGGGATGTTTTCTTCTTAATATAATTATGATTTAATTTAAGTTTGCATTAAAATTACAAAAATTTATAAAACAAAATTTTTACAAAAATATCAAATAATTCCAATATACTATCAAATACTGTGTTCTCTTTATTTAATTAAAAATTCATCTAATTATCTTCTTAACATTAAACCACGTATTTTTTCCCATTTAATATAATTTTCTTTCTTAACATATATATATTCATCTTCTAATATTTCTTTTGCACTTATTCTATAATAAGGATTAGGATCCATCATTCTACATATTAATTTCCTTAATCTTAATGAATACATATTTTCAGGAAAATCATTTATTTGAATACCTTCTCTAATACGACGCCATTCCTCTCCATTTGATGGTAATTATTTTCTTGTCATCAATTAATAAAGAGTTGCACCTAATGAGAATATATCTGTTTTACAGAGATCTAATTTCTCTGTTTAATTTAATAATTCTTTGGCTATATATCTAAAATCACCAACATTTACATCTTCTTAACGTTTTTGTATTTTCTTTGACAAACCCAAATCTGCCAATTTATATTAACCATCTTTCTTACTATATAAAATATTCTCTGGTTTTATATCAAGATGTGATATTTATTATTCATGTAAAAATATCAATCCATTAGTTATATCTTTAAGTATTTTCTTTATTTCAAATTCTTCATAATCTTATCTAGAACTTACACTATAATCACAATATTCCATTAATAAATATAACATATTTCCTTCTTACCATGAAGTAAAATATCTAACTAAATTTTTACATGCTCCTTTTGCATTTAAATATGCTAAAGCTTGAGATTCATTTGCTAAATCAATATTTAATTTATTGTTGTTTATTTTTGTACATTTTATTGCACAAATTTAATTTGTAAATCTATTTTTACATTTATAGACTTATCCAAAATAACCACTACCCAAAATATCCACTTATATATATTCTTCTTAATATCTACTTTTTGGAACTTCTAATTCTCCTTCAAATTATTTATTCAAATTTCTAATTACCTTTTTCTTATTCATCTTATTTTATTGGATTTCTTTATTTTTTTCTCCTGTTGATTATTGTAATTTTTTCTCCTTTTATTTTGGAGTACTAGGTGAACTTATTTAATTCAATTAATATGTTAATGATTTCTATTATTAGATTTTCATTGCTAATTAATTTTTTTAGTTAATTCTTATCCCCTCTGTTACTTATAGTTTTATTGGTTATTTAATTTAATTACCAAACTCAGGTGTAAATGGAGGATTAACAAATAACTTCTTACAAGGATTAGGTTCCAAAGTTTAAGGTGAACTGGGGTTTGAAAAAAGATTCCTTGAAGGAAATACATTCATTCCAAATGTCAAATTTCGAAATTTAAATTAATTCTCAAATTACCGCTAAAATAATTCTTTAAATTTTATTTAAAATTTTATAATAAAAATTTAATATAATTTATTCATCCATCATTTTTTAAACAATAAACTTCCTAATCTAGGTTTTGTTGTAGTCTATTAAAGATTTGTTTAAGTATCCTCATGAATACTACCTGCATCTTAATTCTTCACATCTTACTCCTCCTCTTATGTCTAATCATTCAATAAATCTACAATACAAATTCCTTCTCCTCCTTCCAAATTATATTTCTTTGCACCTACTTATTATATTATAATTAAAGCTGTTTATTTTTTGGATAAACATATATCTAATTTTTAAGATTCTCTATGATCTATAATTTACATATTATCTAATTTAAAATATAATTTCTATCTCCAAATTTTATTTGTACTTCTATTATTTAAATGTTACAAATAAGTTCCTTCTTTTTTTATAAAATATTAAGTAATTACAAGATCACTACTTCCATTTTCTTATTCACTAAGATCTCCTTTATGAAAATATTTTATTTTTTAAGTATCTGATGAATGTTTATCTGCTATTGCTATAGCACTTTCATATACTGCTTTTTAAAATCCTTAAATCTATTAATCTAATCTTTGAATCTAAATGAGTTTTTGACTATGAATTGTAACCCAAAATTTCATCTTTTTTATATCAAATTATTCTTTACTATCTCCTGTTTCAACTTACACAAATAATACATAATCTCCACTCTCTAATGAAGCATCCTTAAATAACATCTTTTCTGTAGATTAACCTCTTCCAAAACAATATTTGTATGGTTTAATTTATTTCTTTTCAGTATTTTATTCAAATATAGAAGCATATTTCATATCAGCTTTAATATTTTCTTCTTTTTTATCCTTTTCTCTTTCTAATTTTGAACGATTAGTTTACTCTGACCATCTTGATACAATCTTCTTTTTTACTTAATTCTTATTAGTAAATATATCCTTTTCTTTTGCAAGTACAATTCTTACAGGAAATGTTTCTAAAGAATAATCAATTTAATAATTATACTTTCTTATAGGGTATTTTCATCCTATTTTTCTTAATGATCTTAAGTAACACATATTAAGCAATCTTAAGCTAAATTTGTTTTAAATTTGCAAAAGAATCTTAATTCATGATTATGTTTATCTTTTTCTTCAGGTTCTATCAATTATTAATTTTATATTGGATATCTTGTGGCACATAACATAACAACATATTGAAAATGCTTTATAAAATCTTTATATTCCATATAAAAGTAAGAATCATTGCCTCTTGCTTGAGGATTTCTTTCTTACAATTTTTATCTAGCCATAGGAATTTAATTGGTTATTTCTTGTTTAATAGCAAGTTTTTAGTTTGATGCTAGAATAAGTAGATAATATGATTCATCCCTCTTTCCTTATGAAGACTCTTACATATCTACAATTTGATAAGCTGTATTTCTAGGTAATTTTAATCTATCCTCTATATCTTTATATAAATAGCATATTCTAACTTTAGTACTTTGATATTTCTAAGACAATGTTTTCCATATTTTTTTTTACTTGAATATATATATATTAATCATTTACTTAATCAGAATATTCTTAATTATCACCAAAAACATTTGGAACTGTTAATTGTACAGTTGGCATTCCTGTTAGTAATGTTAAATATTCAACAGCTCTCATTAATTTATCATTTGAAAAATATTGGAAAGCTTAATTATATTTTGCAAATGCTTTAAAAAGGATTACCCATGCTAATTCTTATTCTTATGCATTAGAAAATATGGGCATTTTATCAGATCTAAATACAGGTATTCTATCATCAATAATATACTCTTTCCATTCGTTTCTCAAAAATAATTTAATAAAGTAAAATCCAATTCTATTATATAGATTATTATTCTTACTCAGCTTCATATTTTCTTGAAAATACTTTAGAAAATAAATATGAATGGAATGTAAGTGCATTTAACACAACTGTTAATTATTAACAACAATACTATTCTTAATATTTTAAATAACCAGGTTCAATTTCTTTAGTGAATAATTTAAAATCTTTCTTTTTGAAATATTTTGATGCAAATATTCTCTCAAATTCAATGGGTGCTCCAATAGGTTAATCATTTTCATCTTTAATGTTAAAAGACTATTCAGAAAAATCAAATTCTGGATCCTCAAAATTTTCTCTCTTTAATCCTTTTTCATCAATAAGACTCTTATAACCATCTAATTCAGCTGGAGGATAACTATTTCCTTTTATGGGATATTTCTCATTCCATTCAGATCTATTCTGATGTATGATCTTAAAGAAATTAATACTCTAGTCAGTCTACAATTATTTAACATTTAGTATTCTCCATTTATGTCCTTCAGCAATATATTGTATAAAATCACGAGCAGGTTTATTGTATTCCCAATAAGCATAGTAATAAGAACCACTTGGTTTGTAAAGTCTACCTATACCATGTTTATATCCATCTACAAATTCACCTTCATATAAGTATTCTGATTTTTGTTAATCTGCTTCGTCCTCTTAAATTTCTTCAGTATTTTATTAATCTTTTCTCTTTTCTTTATCATATGGTGGAGGGAATGTAGCAACTATTCTTTCTTTAGAATATGCTACTTATACTCCAAATCCATTAGGTAATCCTAATTTTGATAAGCATAGAATTAGTTACCTCTCTAATAATCACCTACATAATAAGATCCATCAGAAAAGACCAATTTACCATGTCCATGTTTTTAATTGTACTTAAATTACCCTTCATAACATCCACCTGTGATGTAACATTCTTTACCATAGCCATGTTTTTGTCCCTATTCAAATTATCCATCATATAAGTATTAACCTTTCTTGTCAGGATAAAGTTAAACATTATTATAAAGCAAACCTCTACCATGAAACATTCCATCTTTGTATTAACCTTCATAAACATCTCCATTTGGAAAAGTTTCTATCCCACACACTTTTTCACCCCTATTCCATGTTCCTTTAAAAAAACACTTAGTTTCATTATTAAATAAATATCCTGGACCATCATAAAGGACTTATTTAGATTTATCATCTGTTATTATGTCTCCTTCGTATATCAATTTTCCATCCTAAGCTGACAGTTTTTTGTTTGTGCTCTTCATTTAAATATATATTATATATATATATCAATATAAATTATCTATCTTAGATATCAATTACAAACTCATATCCCATAACTATTTTGCCTTCTCTTTACTTGTAAATTTAGCCTTTGCTAATTTGCAATCTTTGTAGAATCCCCCATCAACTAACTCTTCATCTTTTATCATAATGCAATATAAAATAGTTTGACATCCATAATAAATGTCTTTTGTAAAAAAACTATAAATAGGCCAAGCAATTGACATAATCAAATTGAACCACCATGCTGATAATTAATATTGTAACACTTCAGTTCTAACTACACCTGGATGTAAAGAACATGCCTTAATACCAGTTCTCTTAGAAAATTCTTAAGCATTCAGTATTTGAGCAAATTTAGTGTTACCATAAGCTCTATATGTGAATATTCTACTCCAAAATAGACTCTTTGACCACTTATCACAATTTAGATCATTAAAATCAAGGTCTTAAAATACATGAGCTATAGAAGAAACATTAATTATTCTTGGACAAT